CTTTTTTCCTAGGCACCTCTGGGAGGATTTAGTAACTGCCAACCTTTTTGTCACTAATCCAGCACTGAACCAATTGTGCCTCCCAGATACTCCTTTGAAAACATGATGCTGAGTGAAATAAGTCAGTCACAAAAGGAAAAACACTGTATGATCTCATTTATATGAAATAGCTAGAATAGGCAAGTATATAGAGACTAAAGAGCTTACCAGGGTTATGTGGGAGGTGGGGGGAAAGGGTGATTCATTGGTTAGGAGAAAATGAGCTTGGGTTGAGGGTGATAGGAATATTTGGAAATGGCTGAACCTGATGAATGTATTTAATGTCACCAAAAAGTACATGTAAAAAAATGTGCAAATGGCAAATGGACGGTTAATAGTTACCACAATAAAACAAAAGCTATTGCATAAACAAATCTGTGCTATAAGGAGTCAGAATATTAGTTCCTACTAGGGGTTAGTGCCTAGAAGGCAGCATGAGGGAAGCTTCCAAAATGTAGAAAATACTCTGTTTCTCTTCTGGGAGTTGGTTACAGAAGTGTATCAGATTTATGGACAGTCAAACAGTACACTTACAGTATGTGACTCTTTCTATACATATATTGTATTTCAATAAAAATTAATAATGTTTTAAGAATCAGGTTGTAAATTCCTATCATAAATGCCTTTTGTAATAAAACTTACATCCAAGTGTGAAATTACAGTATTGCTGAAGATATAAACTAAATGTTTTCAAATCTGTTTCTAGAAAATTTGTATAATTTACAGAAAATGAAGTTTTCATTATATCATTTGTTTCAGAAGACTGGTTTTTCTGAAATATAAAGTGCTCCAGGCATTAGTGGAAAATGAAATATCTCAAAATCTCATATCCAGATGTTTAAAGCATTAAATTCATAAGTGCCACATAACAAGCATTTGACCTCTTAAACTCTGTTTTTATAGAAAACAAAAAGCATGATTATATTAAATGTCTAATGTTAGAACCAATGAATTAAAAATGCCTTTTTACTTTATTCCTAATTTTCTTCACTTCTATTTCTCATAGCTTTTCTAGTTATGTTTGTTTATTTTAATTGAAAACATGAGTCCTGTGAACCTCTTACATCACTCCTTGTATAGTGAGCAACTTGTCCAATGACAAGTCTGTCTGATTAGGGCATATCTTTTATTTATGTATTTATTTATTTATTTATTCATTCATTCATTCATTCATTTATTTATTTATTTAAAGTTTTTATTGTGAATTATGGGAGAACACCAGCTTTACATTCATCCTATCATATTTCATTTCATTGCAATGATTACAATCCCTTCCATGCATCATCAAACAATCAAAGGGTACACCACACAGGCCTACCCCCTGGCTGTCAGCACACAGCCTCTCTCCCTCCCTGAGTCCAGAGTCCCCAGCTGCTCCAACTGTCCACATCATCATCTCTGCCTCTATTTCTGATGTCACTGCTTCTCTGGGTAGGGTCCCTCACTCCACTTGTCTCACTTGATGGTCCCAGAGACCTCCGCTCCTGGAATGCAAAATCGATCACTTCCCTCATTTTGCTACAAAACATCTACCTTTACATTTCTGACCCTCACAGTCAGTCCTGGTAGCAATTATTCACTATTGTACCACAAGAGTCTTATCCCCATCTCCTTTCATCAGCCCAATCCCAACAGATTGGAAACCACTCAGTGGAGATTCTATCTTCCCCCACCCCCTCTGGAACTAAACTCCCTCTTGAAAGCTTGTAAGCCAGTCACTTCTTGCCTTTGTAGCCTCCCCTTCCCCACTTTGTGTAGCCAACGTCTAAGTTGCCCATAACTGTCAACCCTGTGTACTGAGGGGATGGGAATGATCCTCACTGTAAAGATTTGTTCCGTTTTTTGAGTTATTACATCCTTAAGTATAGGTAAAGTTTATCGAATTGTAGTGGGTTACTCTTTTTTCCTCTTCTTTCTTCTTCTAGTCGAGTCTGATCATCCAGACATTGAAGCCAGGTCAAGTGGGTACTATCTGCAAGTATGGGTGTTCTTGTGCATCTCCCCTCACTTCATATGAGCTGGATGCTTCACTTTCTGCTCTAGTCCTCTGTGGCCATGCCACTGCCTCTGGGTCCAGGAGTCCCCAGGTCTTGCCATACTGCTGGCCACCCAGGTCTCAAACCGCATTCACAGGAATCTATTGAACATGGTTGGACTTAGCTCACAACTTCATTGCTGTTTTCCCCCCACTTCTCCTTATCGGTGACCAACGTGGTCACTAGCCAGACCATATGCCAGCTTGTGTATTTCCCTTGAGTTTTAGTCTTGGAGGGGATTTGCTTTGAGGGAACCCGACCACTTGCCTTGATGACTCTGATTAGGGCATATCTTATAAGCAATGGTGGTGGTGGTTGATGTGTGCCATGGAGTCAATTCTGACTCATAGTGGCCCTGTATAGGATTTCCAAGGTTGTAAATCATAACGGGCGGAGGTCTCTCGTTCTCCGATGGAGTGACTGATAATTAGAACTAGTGAGTTAGCAGCCCAGCTTGTAATCTACTATGCTACCAAAGCTCCTTAATAGGCAATTGCAGGTGTTGTTGTTGTTAATTGTAGGTGGTATTGTTGTTAATTGTAGGTGGTGGTGTTAAGTGCCATTGAGTCAGTGCTCACTCACAGGGTTTCCAGGGAGTGGCTGATGGCTTTGAACCACTGACCTTTTGGCTAGCAGTCCAGTGCTGATCCTATAGCGCCATACTAGGACTCCTAATAAGCAATAAGGGATTTTTTTTTTGCTTATTTCTCCTACCTACCATCAGACCTCCCACTATTACATCAGTATAGATTTTCCAAACACTTTCTTTATAGTCTCACTAAATCTCAGAACTGATAAAAGGATTGTCTTGTCCTTCTTACTTATAAGAACATTCACTGCATGGTAGCACAATAGAGGCAAGTACTTAAAGTAGATGGGAGTCAGGATCAGCCAAGTGAAGCCTCCATATTGCACACATCACCTAGCTGTTTCAATATGGTGGAAGAGATTGAGAAAGGGTACCGATTTCAGTTCACCTACACATAAGTGGTATCAGTAAAATTAGAATAATACCCACATTATCTGATTGGATTTTTCTGAGTACTATACGAAATGTTGTTGTTGTTGTTAAGTGCCGTTGAGTCGGTTCCAACCCATAGCGACCCTGTATAGAGTTTTCGAGTAGCAGCTGGTGAGCTTGAACCATCAACTTTGAAGTTCAAATGGCTTAAACAGGTATAATATTTAGCACAATGTCAGGCATAGACTGCTTATTGTTGATAAGTGCCCTCAAGTCAGTTCTGACTCCTTGTTGTTGTTGTCAGGTGCCATCGAGTCAGA